TTCCCCGCCATGTGTGAGGCTGACATCAGGGAACAGCCATGGTCATAATGCTCTATACAATGTAAAGCAAAGTTGCCTGGTTCTTAACTAGAGGCAATAATGTTTTATTGTTTTCCGATAGTACCGTTCTTATTATTAATATTATTTTTACATTAAAAAAATAATAAAAACACCTAAAAAAAGACAATGCTATAAAAGCCCTGCATAATAACGAAATCTCAACATTAGTATCATATACCTACACATTGCAAGTTCTTAGTTTCTTAACCCTTTATTCTAGAACGAATTGCTTAAAGAAATAATATAATGATAAAGACTACAGGTTACAAATTGTAATTTTATTGGCAGGTATATATGCCAACTCTCCCAGATTATCAGGGAGTTTCCCGGAAAAGGAACTGATCTCCCGCTAGCTCTCCCGTACGGGCCACCAAATCTCCCGGATCAGGAGCCTAGTGATGGGCTCCTGCTCGGATATAATCGACTTTTCAGCTTTTCTGTGTTTTTGTTTAAAATTGAGCACATTTTTATTGTCAAAACTCGAAGTTTTTATTTTCATAGTAGACATAGTACGTTCTTGGGGGCATATTTGCATGTCTTTAGTCACTAGTGACCTTACGATCGAGGTTTGGTCATTTCACCGCAAACGACAAACTGCAGTTTGGAGTTAACGGTTTCACGTTACCCTTCTACCCATATTTGGGACTTACTCCTATTTTAGCCGAGAAATTGTCCTCAAAATTACGTTTTTTGAAATAGAATTCGATAATCAATAAGTAAAAGAGTTCTAAAAGGTTGTTTTTCTTCTCAAACGTGGGATTGTGATGTTTTAGGGGGCAAAAACTTTGCGGTAGATCACTTACCTTTGGAGCGTTGTCTATCCATACAAACCAGGGCGTAAGAAGCTAGGGCGTTGAAACTCTCATGCGCGCTCTCTGGTTCAGCTGTGATGCGGAGTAGAACTGGAACTAGTTCGCTTTTCCGCTCTCGATCCGCTGTCAGGGCAAGAAAAATGGCACTGTCTAGCTGGAGGTAGGTTCGGATTTATTGCTTTATATCTTTAAATCGCTACAATCTATAATTAGATTTGATATTTGGCGTATTTCTATGCGATATACAGAAAATATTTAGGTTATATTTTATAGTTAGTCTTATAAGTTAAGGTGTTTTTTCGTCTTCTATTTTTATGTAGTGTCAAAATGGCATATTGAATATTACAGGTTGAAGGTGGCGTTTTATCTTGCCAGTCAAAACCAAATGATAATAAATGGCTACAAAAAAAAATATGTAATTTTGTTTGTGCATGCAAAGTTTTAGAATGAACTTTTATGAACCTTTAAGGTTTTTTTACTTCTGAAGTAACAACTTCATAATGGCGATAGCAAGGTTTTTGTTTTGTACGTTGGCGTTTAGCTTGTTAGTAAAATAAAAGATTTCAGTTGTCCAATTTAACGATTTTTATTTTTTTAACATAAAGATGGTAAAAATTTTTTTTAATGTACAGAACCGCGATCCAAGAATTAGGTTCTCACTATTTTTAAAGTTCTACTAGAAAATTGCATTCGAATGATCTCGTTTGACAATCTAAGACTAATTAAGACTGTGTAGCAATGTATTTTTGTCGTCAGAGGCTTACGTGTGGTGTTGCACAAACGACAGTCAGCTCTCAGATGGCAACTATTGGGACGGGTGCAAAATGTCTGTATTAATTATTATTACTATTTATACAGAGTAAAAGAAAATGACTGAAAAATAGTATATGGACCAACTCGATTTCCTGGAGGTGCCTTATCTTTTGATTGTCAGCTACTGTATAATATTTCTAGCATTGTATCCTCTCTCTCTTAATATTATATATTGTAGTTACAAGGAAACAGGAAAGTATTTTTTGAATCAAGTTTGATTAAGCCTGGCTGTAGTTAATAAATTTAACCAAGAATAAAATTGAATCATACTGGACATGAAGCATGCAAGTGTGCTAGGGCTGCTGGTTGCACTAAAAAGTTTGCTTTTCAATGGTTTAATCTATGTTTATACAGGTCATTTGTATTTCATTTGTGCATAATTCTGTATTTCATTTGTAATTCTGTATAATTTTATTGTTTGCAATATACTTTTAAATTTGTATGTTATGTTTTATGTTGTATCTGTAAGATATATATATATATATATATATATATATATATATATAGCAATGTCTGGTTTCAATGTAAAACTAGTGAATGTTTAGTTTCTTTTAAGTTCCTTAGTATGTCTTGCATGGGTAGTTTTCATTGACCATTTCATTAGAAAAAGCTATTATTATCAAACAAAAATATTTGTTCAGCTACTTGTTTGTGTTCTTGCGACTTCTTTGTTAGTTTTCAAGGGCAGTGAATTATATTTTTTTCACATACTTATTCTTCATTGCACAGTAGTATTAGTGTACAAGATAAAAAATAATGATGATTTTATTATATTTTTTATTTACCCGGACTTTAGTTTTCACAATCTGTCCAACTGTAATGCTCAATATTGGAGATAGCTCAATAAGGTGTTTAGAGAACAATACTGATGTACACTAACAAATCCAAACCGATCACAGAGTGAAAACAGATCATGACTGGCCTTGAAACTGGGCAGCAAAAAATAAATGCCATAGCAGATGATGAATTACACAACTTGATATTAAACTGAAGTAGAAAACCGATAATATTAGTCTAAAAATGATGTCAGTGCTATGAACTGAGTTGTGATGCCATTTTCTTACCAAGTCACGAAATGTTAATACCGAGGTCACGTAGGTGGAACTATATTCAATACAGATATTTGTTCGCGGAGGAAAAATTGAACAAAACAAAAAACGAACGTGAGAAAAAATAATTTGTTCCTTCGCTATTGCTTGCAGCAAATGAATGCCACGGGATAATGGCTAACGTCAACTGGATAATCTCTCTGACGGTCCAGTATAATGTCTGCCATCTTGTTTTGTCTCTTTGGTAGTACCCAGACCCTTGCATCACAGCTAGATCGCTCGACCCCGCTCGTTTCAACGCCCTAGCTTCTTACGCCCTGGTACAAACTGTGAACCTCAAACTGCAAACCTGACGGCAAGGCCATAGTCACATGACTTCTTGACGTTTGTGGTATGAACTCTTCCAAAATTTGTTATTCTTGGTATTGATTCGATATTTGTTGAAGTGTTTTTCTTTTTGCAAGTAAAATTCTTGTTACTTTTGCGATTTTTGCGAAATTTGTAGACGTTTAGAGGGCCTCCTTTGCCATTATCCTTTATAGGACTGAACTTTTGCTTAATTTATTCCTGTTATTCTTGCGATATTTGCTAGCGTGTTTTGTTGTTGTCGTTGTTGCTGAATAAAAAATTGTTGTTATATTTGCGATTTTTGCGAAATTTGCAGACTTCCAGAGGACCTTCTTTACCTTTCCTTTTTATAAGTCTGAATTATTGCTAGATTTGTTATTCTTCTTATTCTTGAAATATTTGTTAGCGTTTGGTGAAGTTGTTGTTGTTATTGCAACAAAAAATTATTATATATTCATGTTAGTTTTTCGATTTTTGCGAAATTTGCCGACTATACCTTTTTCTTTTCAAGTCTACTCTTTTGTTACTTTGTTATTCTTGCAATTCTTGCGATAGTTATCTGGGTGTTTTTTTGTTGCAATGAAATTTCCTGTTACTTTTGCGATTTTTGCAGACTTTTTTAGATTTCTGCAAGCAATTTTTATTAAACAAATTTTTGTTGAAATTGCGACAAAAATTTGTGAGCAAAGTTTTTCTACAGTTTGCAATCCTTGTTGAATTTGTTATTTTTGCTATATTTGCTATTTTTTCTGTACATTTCTGACAGTTCGTTTAATTTTTCTTTTGCCAAAATTGCGAAAACAATTTGCTACCAAATTTTTGCGACAGTGTTCAATCCTGGACATAAGAGGAGAGCCACAAGGTAGCCATTACGCAAGTCTTTCAACCATTTCAATGAAACAAAATAGTACTTATAAAAGGGGAAATGTGGCCTCAATAGAATGTTTTGGTGAAACTGGTATATCATAAAGCTTGGCTTATCCGGAAAGCGAGGATCCTCATCTTCGTT